TTCATTGCCTAGTGAAATATCTTTCAATGTTAACGTAGATATTTTTTTGATGAACAAAAACAAGAGTGGCCCAGAGCTGGAGTCATCAGTCTACACTTTATAGCCTTCACTCTTTCCTTTATTTTGCGACCATACTCAAACATTTCTGTGAGAAACCTGATTACCACGTGTGTTTTGAACTGTGCATCTGATAGTTTGGCTCTCTCTTAATTGCTTAGTTGTATTTTTTTCTCCAGTTTTGATCTGTTCTTTCATTTGGGCTATTTTTTTTTTGACTTGGTGCACCTATTATGTAATAAGCAGTGGGGCCTTAGGCATTCACCAGGGTGGGGCAAACCTGTGTTACTGTGTTGTGGTGCTGTTTGTGGGAGAGGGGTTCGAGGGGGAACAGTGCAGCTTGCTCTGCTCTTGGCTGGCTTCAGTCACTTCCTCCAATGCCCACAAGCAAATCAGGCCCTTCTGGTGCTGATTCCTGGGTGGGTGGGTTTGTGTATGTTCTAGGACTCTGTGTGTCTCTCCAACAAACTATCCTATGAGGTGGGAGTTTTTCCTGCTGCTACAACTCCCACAGGGGGTTTATTTCTCTGCGCTGGAACCCTGGGTTGTGCAGTTTGTCTCACTCCCCAGTTGTTCCTCCTGGTTTATCTGCACACAAATGTGGGACCACCTACTCCACCAGCCGCCACCTTGCCAGATCCTTGAGCCGCTGCCTTGCCATGAGTCTTCTCTACCTGCCTGCCCATCTCTGCCCCTCCTATGGGTCTGGATGAATGTTTCTACTTTAACTCCTTGGTTGTTGGGCTTCCATACAGTTTGATTATCTGGCAGTTCTGGTTTTTTGTTTTTAAATTTGTTGTTGTCCTTCTTTTGGTATGGGAGGAGGCACAGTGTATCTACTCACACCTCCATCTTGACTGGACGTTTCTGTCCTTCCATTCTAAATGACAGCTTTGCTAAGTAGACCAGTCTTGGGTGTAGGTCCTTCCTTTTTATGACTTTGAATATTTCTTGCCAATCCCTTCTAGTCTGCAAACTTTCTTTTTAGAAATCAGCCAACAGTCTTATGGGAACTCCCCTGTAGGTAACTAACTTCTTTTCTCTTGCTGATTTTGATTCTCTCTTTATCTTTAACCTTTGGCATTTTAATTATGTTTCTTGGAGTGGGCCTGTTTACATGCCTCTTGTTTGGGATTCTCTATGCTTCCTGAACATGCATGTCTATTTCCTTCACCAAATTAGGGAAGTTTTCTTTCACTGTTTTTTTCAAATAGTGTTCCAGTTTCTTGCTCTTTCTCTTCTGCTTCTGGCATCCCTTCTATGTGAATGTCTCAATGTTTGAAGTTGTTCCATGCCTGCTTATACTTTCTCATTTTTTTTGGATTCTTTTTTCTTCTTGTTCTGATTGGTTGTTTTTTGCTTCCTTATGTTGCATATCATTGATTTGATTCTCAGCTTCATCCTCTCTACTGTTGTTTGCCTATAAATTGTTCTTTATTTCAATTAGTGTATCCTTTGTTTCTGACTGGATCTTTTTTATGCTGCTGAGATCCTCACTAAGTTTCTTGAGCATTCTTATAAACAGTGTTTTCAACTTTGCATCTGATAGATTGCTTATCTCCATTTCATTTAGCTCTTTTTCTGAAGGTTTGATCTATTCTTTCATTTGGGCCATGTTTCTTTGTTTCCTCATTTTTGGCACCCTCCCTGTGCTTGTTTCTATGTATTAGGTAGAGCTGCTTTTACTCCCTGTCTTGGTAGTATGGCTTAATGTAGTAGGTGTCCTGTAGGGTCCAGTGGCACAGCCTCACCATTCACCCAAACTGGGTAGTCAAAGTATGCCCTTCATGTGGACTGAGGCCACCCTCCTCTTGTAGTTGAGCCTTGATTGCTCTTCGCAGATCAGTGGGAGGGATTAACTGAGGCCAGTCACCTGCAGGGATTGGCTGTGACCACTTACCACCAACCCCCATTTTCCGTGGAGGGTTAGTTGTGCAGGTCCAGAATGGTGGTGCTCCAGTGTGGCCTGTAGCTGTCTACTGGCTGTGCTGGCCTTAGGGTTTCCTGGGTGGTGCAGGTCAAGGTCAGCCTCCACCAATGGTTTTGCCTGGGGCCACCCTGCCTGAGCTATAAAGCAGTCTGAAATGGCTGCTATTTGTTCTGTGCTTGGAGATTCCCAAGCAAAGCCAAGCTGCGAATCCAGGTTGGCTGCTGCTGGTGCTACACCTGGGGTTCCCTAAAGCCGGTTGTTGCTTGTTTGAGAGAATTTAGAATGTTGTGAAGTATGAGCCAAGACCAGCCATTCAAGTGGAAAGGCAGCTTGGGTGGGCCCCTAAGTTGGCTGGGGCAGGGTATCTCATGATCTCCAAGGTGGGTCACACAGTGTTAGCCTGGTTGATAGAGTCTCAGATATGGTACCAGCTAGCTGGCTCTGTCTGGATGGCTGTGGTTTCTTTAAATCTATAGTTATTAGAGTTCCTTTCACCTCAATTTCTGATGGTTCTGAGTGATGGTGGTTCTTTTTGATGTGGTTGTGCAAAGAGTTGAGCCATGTCTGTGTACACTGCCATCTTGACCAGAAGTCAGAATGATCCTTGGCTGGCTCTTATATTTAGTTATTTGTTTCATTTTGAGTTAATATTTATATATGGTATAGAATGGTACAACTTTGTTTTGTGCATGTGGATATACATTTTTCCCAGCATCATTTTGCTGAAGAGACTCTTCTTTCTCTATTTAACAGTCTGGGTGCTGTCAAAAATCAATAAACCATAGACATAGGAGTTTGTTTCTGAACTGTTCTAATCCATTGATTTGTATATCTCTTCTTATGCCAGTACCACACTATTTTCATGACTGTAACTTTATAGTAGGTTTTGAAATTTAGAAGTATGAGTCTTTCAACTTTGTTCTTTTCAAGATTACTCTGGCTATTTGGGGCCCCTTACAATTCCATGTAAATTTTAGGATTGGCTTTTCCATTTTTTCAAAAAGGCCAGCAGGATTTAGTCAGGAATTGCATTCTATATATCACTTTTCATAATATTCTAAAGATGGCAATACTTCCAACCCATGAATTTCTTTCCAACCCAAGGATGTCTTTCCATCTATTTAGGTCTTTTTAAAGTTCTTTCAGCAATGTTTTATAGTTTCCAGTGTATAAGTCTTATACCTACTTGGTTATATTTATTTCTTACTATTTTATTTTTTTGATACTATTGTAAATGGAATTGTTTTTTCAATTTCATTTTGATTTTTCATTGGTAACTGTACAACTTTTTTGTGTTGATCATTATCTCACAACTTTGGTAAAATTACTTCTTAGTTCTAATGATTTTTGTGGATTCCTTTGGATTTTCTTTGTTTAAGATCATGTTATATGCACTTAAAAAACATTTTTAAACCTACTACCTTTATACCAGTGTTTTTCAAAGTACAGGGCCCACCCAGCCTATTAGGTTGTGAAATCAATCGAAACATGTAAGTTTTGTTTCGTGAAGTTTTTGTGTATGAAACATACACATATGCATGTGTTTAAGCTTTTATATAAAATGTATTTCTTAACTGTCAATTGCAGTAAACTATTTAATGCCATATTTTACAATATGTAATTGGAATGTAGATTTATGAGATTAATTAGGTAGAAGTAAAAGTCCTAGCAGTTGGCTTTTATTACCATGGAAATGGTAATTCTATATTACGAACTGTTTTCTGGACACAAAAATAATTGAGCAAAAAATATACTCTTTGTTCATTGGTGGCCCTGTGAATAATAAGCTTGTAAGATTTTTGCTTTTCATGCTTTCTGGTGATTACTTCTTAACCTGTTTTTGGTACTGTGGAGAAAGTTTCTTACTGAAACTCCAGATTATTTCTTGAGAATGTATTTTATGAAAAATAGTAATCTAACTATTAAATTACATACATAATACTTATTATAAATGAAAATAACAAAAAGCCATATTATGAAGGATATTATAATCTACAAAGACATCTTTTACTCTCCAATAGATAGAGATTATCAAAACGTAATAAAATGTATATTTTTACTAATTGAATTAATATCAGTTTACCGAATATAGTAAATAATTAAGGGAGAACTTACAGCTTATTAGTGCAGGTGAGGTACTTTGAAACATAACTATTATACATGGTACAAAATTTTGATTTTATGGAAAGACAAAACTTCTGTGTACTAGACTCTTGATAGGGTATCTTTCCAATTAAACAAATTGAATGGTGTTCACTTTTTCTGAATTGTTGTGCATGATGTTAAATTGTGTCCTTTATGCACAAGTAGTTTTGTGGAGATTATGGGCTATGCATAGTAAAGGAGATTAGGACTGTGTGGGTATAACCAGTGGGGTCATATTTCCCTTTGTTCTCCTCCGTGTCCCATTTACTGATAAGGATCTTCCCAGTGGTCCAAATGTCTTCCTGACATTGTTTTTACTACATTGCATAATTCAACATGTATTGGAATGATCTGAGCCTTCAGAATCCAATAGGACTGTCTCGAATTCCCCTTCTCCCTCATGTCAACCTTACGACTATGGACAAATCACTGGAGTACTCTTAGCCTCTGTGACTTTTGCTATAAAATGGAGGATGATTTGAGGTTCCATTGAATACTAAATGCTATTGTGATCTCTCTACATGTGAAATATAGTGCCCAGCATAATGAATACTGAGTAAATTGTAACTCTTAAAATACCTGAGTTATGATTTATAATTAATAAATGGTAATTTTCTTTCTATTCCCAACCAAAACCTTTAAATACGTCCTATCATTTTCAAATAGGAGATAATTCTAGTAAGCTCCATCTATGCTGTTGGATGTTTGTTAGTGGACCACTTACTGATGGTCTCGTAATACATGAAACTTGGCTAATAGGAATTGCAGAATTGCCTTGCTGTCTGATATGAAAATACAAATATATTAGATGTGTCTGTTTTTAAGGTATAAAAAAATAAACAAGCATTGTTATTTTTCTCTTTTTCAGTTATGTGCTGCTCATCTCTCAACTGAGTCAGAGGCACCAAATCATTATCAGGCAGTATGTCGTGCACTATTTGCAGAAACAATGGAGCTGCATACATTTCTAACTAAAATTAAAAGTGCAAAGGAGGTAAGTACCATTGCTTTCATATTTATTGGCATTGTGAAAGATAAACATGAATTTTTAACATTGTCTGTCGTATTATTTAAGGTATTTATTACCATCCTGATGAGTGCTGCAATTCACTCAAGAAAGAAGTAGGTTAGGCAGAATTTATTTTTTGAAATGTGTGTTAATTCATTTCGTAAAATAAAGAATTTTATAAATCATCCTTACAAGTGGGAAATAAATAATACTGAATTGGGTAATCAGTTGCTCCTTCTGACTTGATTTTTATCCTTTTTCTGCCACTCTTTTGTCCTTTTTAAAACATGTTAGTACATCTTTCAAGAAGAGATAAGGACTCACAAAGAAGACTACACCTTTGATAATTTTACTCTTTCATAATGGATTTGATTAAATTTTTAATGGAGGAGATGTGAATTCAGGTTACCCCAAATCTCATTTTATCTATTTCATTTAATTATTATTTATTCGTGTCTATGAGTTAAAAATATTATATGTAGAGTACAAAAAGGATCATTCTACTTTATTTACTAAATGCATTGCCATACTGTATGTTATACAAGTGGTCGTCAAGATTCATGAGATATATATAAAGTAGCACAGCATCTGACACACAGTGACAGCTCAGTACATAATAGTGGGTACATTTCTTTTTATGGATAATGCAGAGAATTTATCTAAACACCAGTTCACAATTAGGATGACACAGTTTGTGGAGGTACACATGTAGGGTATGCAAGGGAGGAAGGAAAATTTTAATCTATATTAATAAAATAGGACTAATTAGCTCTGGTAATAAGCTATCCAACCTGACAGATATCTCAGCCAGGTCACCCTTAATAAATTGCATTAAATAAATTCATTTTATATATATGCATTAGAGCTGTAAGCATTCCCTTTCAGTTCTAGCCAAGCCACTACTTACAGTTGATCAGCCAATGAAAAACTATGTCTTTTTTTTTTAGAATTTTGTAGAGTTGGACCCAAAAAGCAAATTTTCAACAGGATGGAAAGGGTGAACTATATGTTGTTTGAAGAATAATGATAAATACATCATGGAACAGCTTTTCCTCTTAGAACTAGAGGATGTTGGGTTCAGTTAAGCTTCAGAGTAAACATCTGAAAGCACAACCTCAGTTAAGGGTTAGTAAATAGTAGAAAAGATTACTTTTTAAGCTCGTAATTATCTTTCCCAACTTATTAAGAATGAAATTGCCTTATCCAAAGATACAAGCATTATTTTTAGAGTGGAAGTGCAGTCTGTGAGGTCATGAGAGTAAATTAAATGACTTCTTTTTAAAGTCCTTTTAACACAGACATCCTTAGGAACGATTTCTGAGCCTAAAATGGTATTAATAAGTATTTTTCTATTCTAGTGAGATTTAAAAACTTTCATTTTCCTTTTTATTAAAGCTTTGCTCTGCCAAACAAATCCTCAGAAAGAGATTTAAACATTATGAATGTTTATTTAAATAAAAATCTCACAAGTGGAGTAAAAGAACACAAGTTACTGGAACCATTGGTGGCTTTGTGGCGATGCCCCCGGAGACTGGTCAGGCCCTGCCTGAAGTTGGGGACCTTGAGGTCAGGATTTCAGCCATCTCTTCTGCTGTCTCCTTCTGGCACCACACCAAATTTAGGTCTTTTTAGATAATAATTCTGTCCTACTTCTTCATCTCCTACTCTATTTCCCTACTTTCTTTTTTTTTAAGTATATTTTATTGAATATGCTATTACAGTTATCCCAGTATTTTTTCCCCTTTATCCCTTGCCTCCCTGCACCGACCCCCTCACCCTGCAGGATCCCCCAACACACACAGTTCATGAAGTCCATGGGTTGTAATATAAGTTCTTTGGCTGTTCCATTTCCTATACTATTCTTCACCTCCCCCTGTATATTTTATGCCTACCAATTATGCTTCTTATTCCCTGTACCTTTTTTCCCCCCATTCTCCCCTTCCCCCTCCCCACTGATAACCCTCCATGTGATCTCCATTTCTGTGATTCTGTTCCTGTTCTAGTTGTTTACTTAGTTTTTGTTTTTTAGGTTCAGTTGTTAATAGTTGTGTTTGTCTTTTTACTGTTCATAATTTTCAATCTTCTGTTACTTAGCTAAGTCCTTTTAACCTTTCATATAGTAAGGGCTTAGTGATGATGATCTTCTTTAACTTGACCTTATCTGGGAAGCACTTGATCTGCCCTTCCATTCTAATTGATAGCTTTGCTGGAGAGAGTAATCTTGGATGTAGGTCCTTGCCTTTCAAGACTTTGAATACTTCTTTCTAGCCCCTCCTTGCTTGTAAGGTTTCTTTGGGGAAATTAGCTGATAGTCTTATGGGAACTCCTTTGCAGGTAACTCTCTTCTTTCCTCTTGCTTCTTTTAGGCTCCTCTCCTTATCTTTCATCTTGGGTAACTTGATTATGATGTGTCTTGGTGTGCTCCTCCTTGGGCCCAACTTCTTTGGGACTCTCTGAGCTTCCTGGACTTCCTGGAACTCTCTTTCCTTCACCGGATTGGGGAGGTTTTCCTTCATTATTTGTTCAAATAAGTTTTCAATTTCTTGCTTCTCTCTTCCTTTCAGCACTCCCATGATTTGGATGTTGGGACATTTCAAGTTGTCTCATAGGTTCTTAAGCCCCTTCTCATTTTTTTTTGTTTTTTTATTCTGTTCCAATTGGTTGCTTATTTCTTCCTTTTGTTCCAAATCATTGATTTGAATCCCAGTTTCCTTCCCTTCACTGTTGGTTCCCTATATATTTTTCTTTACTTCGTTTTGTATAACCTTCACTTCTTCCTTCATTTTTTCATGGAGGTCAGTTAATTCTGTGAGCATCCTGATTACAGGTGTTTTGAACTGTGCATCAGATAGTTTGTCTGTCTCCTCAGCGCTTAGCTCTTATTCTGGAGTTTTGATCTGTTCTTTTGTTTGGGCCATATTTCTGTGTCTCCACGCACCATCTGGATGAATGCTTCTTTAATTCCTTTGTTGTTGGACTTCCATGCAAATGTTTTTCTGTCAGTTCTGGTTGTTCTCTGTATTTAAATTGGTTGTTACCCTTCTTTTGGTTTCTGTGAGGAAGCAAAGTGTTTCTGCCTATACATCCACTTGGCCAGAATTCTCATTTCCCTACTTTCTTGATTACTTCTGAACCTTTTCCATTCTTTTAGGAATCTCTGCTTTATTTTTTTATTTTTTTAATATGTTTTATTGATTATGCCATTACAGTTGTTCTATTCCCCCCTTCATTCCCCTCCACCTTGCACACCCCCTCCCTCACCATTCCCCCCCTTTAGTTTATGACCACGTGTCTCAAGTTCTTCAGATTCTATATTTCCCATACTATTCTTGCCCTCCCCCTTATCTATTTTCTATCTACCATCTGTGCTATTTTCTGTACCTTCTCCCCCCTTCTCCTTCTCCCACTCTCTTGTTGCTAACCCTCCATGTGATCTTCATGTCTATGGTTCTGCTCCTGATCTAGCTATCCTCTTAATTTGCTTTTGTTTTAGGTGTGGTCATTAATAACTGTGAGTTTGCTGTCCTTTCACTGTTCATCTTTATTATCTTCTTTTTCTTAGGTAAGTCCCTTTAACATTTCATATAATAAGGGCTTGGTGATGATGAGCTCCTTGAATTTGATCTTATCTGAGAAGAACTTTATCTGTCCTTCCATTCTAAATGTAAGCTTTACTGGATAGATCAATCTTGGATGTAGGTCTTTGGATTTCATGACTTGGAATACTTCTTTCCAGCCCCTTCTGGCCTGTAAGGTCTCTTTTGAGAAATCCGCTGACAGTCTGATGGGAACTCCTTTGTAGGTGACTGTCCCCTTATCTCTTGCTGCTTCAAGGATTCTCTCCTTCATTTTAATCTTGGCTAATGTAATGATGATGTGCCTTGCTGTGTTCCTTCTTGGGTCCAACTTCTTTGGGACTCTCTGAGCTTCCTGGATTTCCTGGAAGTCTATTTCCTTTGCCAGATTGGGGAAGTTCTCCTTTATTATTTGTTCAAATAAGCTTTCCACTCGTGGCTGTTCCTCTTCCCCTTCTGGTAGCCCTATAATTCGGATGTTGGAACATTTAAAGATGTCCTGGAGGTTCCTAAGCCTCTCCTCATTTTTTGGAATTCTTGTTTCTTCATCCTTTTCTGTTTGGTCTTTTTTTGATCCTCTTTCTGGTCCACTCCTTTGATTTGAGTCCCAGTTTCCTTTCCATTACTGTTGGTTTCCTGTGCATTTCTCTTCATTTCAATTAGTTTAGCCTTCATATGTTCCTCTAATTTGTGACTCAAATCGACCAGTTCTGTGAGCATCCTAATCACCATTGTTTTGAACTGTGCATCTGAAAGTTTGGCAATTTCTTATTTGCTTAGATTTATTGGCTCTGGGGATCTGAGTTGTTCTTGAGCCATGTTTTGATCTGTTTGCGCCTGTTACGTATGAGGAGCGGAGCCTTAGTTGTTCACCAGGACGGGGCCACCCAGGTCACTGGTTTGTGGCGCTGTATGTGGGGGCTGAGTCAGAGAGGGACAATAGCGGTCCCCTCTGCCACTTTTCAGCACTGGGGCCTGCTCAGCTAGTCTCACTGCTCGCTCCTTCACTGGTTTATCTGTGCGTGAATGTGTGACCGTGTCAGCCCTCAGTGGGTCCACTGCCTTGCACCCTCGGTGGGTCTGCCTGCTACTCCACATTGGGATCCACCCACGGCTGCTTGCGAGCCTTGGTTGCACGCCTGGGTTGGTCCGGTGGATCTTTCCTGCCCGACCCCGCTCCGCTGCTGGCTTTGACCCTCTTACCAGTCTGGCTGGGTCTGGCTGAAAGGTTTGTTGTTTTCAGACTTCCATATAGTTTAATTTTCTGTGGTTTGGCTGTGTTTTTGTTGCTAAAACTTTGTTGTTTTTAAACTTGGTTGTATGAGAAGGTGCAGTGCTTCCACCTACACCTCCATCTTGGTGGAAGTCTCTGGTTTATTTTTTAAAAGCACTCCCCAGTAGCCTCAGATT